CTAAGAAACTGAACAAACAGATCTATTTCATTTTGGTCACTTAGCTAGCAGATTTTGCTTTAGTCAGAAGACTCATATTTAACATTATTATTAAGTTGATATGTAATATTTTTCCAAGATCCTATGGATGTTATAATCCAGGAAACTCATCCTTTGGTTCCTACCCCTTCTGAAGCAAAGCCAGCCTTCCTTCCTTCCTTCCTTCCTTCCTTCCTTCCTTCCTTCCTTCCTTCCTTCCTTCCTTCCTTCCTTCCTTCCTTCCGTCTGCCTGCCCCTCCTCATATACTTGCTGTCTTTCCCGCTCTTGGGTTGGTAGAAGATAACCCCATACCCGGGGTCCCCAACCCCCGGTCCATGGACCAGTACCAGGCTGCGGCATGCCAGCAATTGGTCCGCACAAACAAGGAAAGCCCCATCCACAGGATGCAGGCAGCACACAAAACCATGCACCCTCCGGTCCGCAGAAAAAACTCTCTCCACATAACCGGTCCCTGGTGCCCAAAAGGTTGGGGACCTCTGTTCTAGCCCATCTTCCCTGCCTGGCCAAGTAATCCTCTCTGTTGCTCATTCAGACATTCAGAGAGCCTTCAGCCCTGCCTCCAAATCAGTGCCCACCACGGAGTATGAAAGGGGGCAGAAGTTTACAAAGGCAGCACTGCTGGGGGGGAGGGGGGAAATTGGGGGCCCCAGATTCACGGCTTGGCTAATAAGTCCTGCTTCAGGAAGTCTGCTTGGTTTAGTTGAGGAAAGTGGTGAGGCTGCTCTGAGTGTTTCTGGTAACCCAGTCTGCATGTTGGTGCAGCACTCAGGGCTTTGATCTTGTTAGGTGGTGTCTTCAGCTCTTACAAAAGCTGTTGCTGCAGGCTGCAGAAAAGGACTCAGAGAACTGCATGCAGCCCATAGCTGCAGATTGGAGATCCCTGGTTTTAAATTGCCTCTTCCGTGCAATTCCGTGCTATGATTTTAAGATCCGGGGCTGCTTAGAGTCATTTGGCTCCAAGTTAGCAAGTCAAATAGATTTCTGCCCATTTCTCTCTGCAGAAAAAAAGTAAGGAAGGAGAAAAAGGACTTTCTTTTTCAGAGCTTGTGAATCAGAAAGGATTTTGTTGCACTGGATAGTTTCAGCGCTTGATGAGGGCACTCGGTCACACACAAAGAAAGGACACCCATCCTTGCATCCATTTCAGGCATTATTTTCATTAGCAAGCTTAATAAAGTAACAGTTTGCAAGCTGTGGAAGTAGAATTCTATTTGTACAATACAAGCAGTCCTCGACTTGCGATCACAATTGAGCCCAAAATTTATGTTGTTAGGTGAGACATTTGTTAAGTGAATTTTGCCCCATTTTACGACCTTTCTAGCCACAGTTGCTAAGTGAATCATTGCAGCTGTTAAGTTGGTAACACAGTGGTTAAGTGAATTTGGCTTCCCCTTTGACTTTACTTATTAGAAAGTCGCAAAAGAGGATCACATGACTCCAGGACCCTGCAATCATCATAAATATGAACCAGTTGCCAAGCATCTGAATTTTGATCATGTGATCATGGGGATACTGCAACGGTCATAAGTGTAAAAAAATCATCATGTCACTTTTTTTAGTGCTGTTGTAACTTTAAACGGTCACTAAATGAACTGCTGTAAGTCGAGGACTACCTGTATTGTTTAAGCTTAACCAATCTGAAGTCAGGGACTGATCCCACATAATGAAAGAGAAATGGAAGGTTTTAAAAAGATATATCAAAACTGTGTGGACTTTTGGATCCGAAAGAGACTTATGTAGCACTTGTTGGCAACTCATTAGAGCAAACGTATATATTTTTTTCTGGGAATCACATTATAGTTATGGAGTATAGAAGCAGCTATATTAAAGAGTTACTGAGAAGTGCTATGTGAAGCCCTCTAAACCTTTGTAGTGGAAAATTTTCTGGGGATACTTTTATCAGGCTTAAATGTTATCATTTGATTTCAGACGTTAAGCACTGATGCACTAACTTCAGTTCAGCTGAAATGTCTCCAAATCCTTGCAACTCAAGAGCTTTTCACAAATTCAGTTTTTGCAAATTTACTTCAGCGCTTTATCTGGAAGTATGCCCTCCTGCTCTGAAACAAAGAACAAGAGAAGCTGAGGTAGTAGAAAACACTTTGTTTTGTAGTGGGTATTCAAAACAAAACAAAACAAAAAACTCCAATCACATCAGCTTAACATTTGTTTGACAAATAGCAATTTTCATCTGGCCATGTTCTTTGTAGAGCTGCAGAAGGGCTGCTCATATGCCTAGTGGCCTTGATAGCCAAGCAGGCAAGCATGGGCAGGAACTTATCAAAGATGGACCCATATGTATGGAAATCTTTCCTAAAAGGTAATTGTTGTGTCCTGAGCCTGCTAGAGCAGAAAGCAGGCTCAGAATTGTTGCAAACGGTCCCGGGCAAACGAAAAACTGTCCGGGACCAGACAGGGTGGCGCCAGCATTGTGCGCATGCACAAGGCGCGAAAATGGTCAGTTCCTATTGGTTCACACTGTCTGGGTCTCAGGCCCTATAAAAGGCCTGCGTGCCTTTTGCTTTTGCTTGGTTGTAGGAGAAGAGTAATAAAGAGCTTGTTGTTTCACCATGTGTCTTCATCAATTGCCAACGAACGGAAAACACAACAGTAATTACCTCTCTATTTTCTTTTAGATCCTTTAAACATTTTGAAAGTTTTTAATTTTTTAGTTCTTAACAGTTGGGTGAGTTAAACTCATAGAGGCCTGCTCTGGAGTGCTTCCCTTTCCCCACTTTAAGTGCTTCTGTTTGTGGGAGAGTGTTGTCTCCTATTCTCTAGTAACTCACATAACTTGATTCAGATAGTTGCAGCTGTTTGGATTTCCTGAAGAAATCCAAATCATTCCTAAAATTAAAACTATGCAACTTCATGTTGTTCTGAATTTTGCTCTGAGGTCCATGGGAGTGCTATACCCATGAGTATTAATTTTTATGTAAGTTTATTCGAGTTCTTTCTGAAGAAAAGCAGAATCTCTCTCTTTCTCTCTCTCTCTCACAGCAAAATGAATTTATTCCAGACCAGCCCGTAGTTAACTATATACAAAGGAGTGGTTTAAAATGGGCAGAGGAAGGAACATAAAAAGTTTTTGAAGTTTGCAGAGTTGAACACTGAGGGATAACCAGGGCAATCAGTGTATAAAAACAAGTTCATGGATGAGGAGGGAGTCCCTCAATAACCTTTTGATTTAATCTCCAAGAACATTATATTGATGTCAGTGGAGACAAGAGAATAGGGGGAAACTTGCAGAATTGTACAAAGTTTTTTTTTTTCAAAAACCTTGAACTATACCAGGATAGAAATAGGATGATAGTTATTGCAACAACGGTTATATGTACTGTACTTACTCTTCTTTGTACCCTCATAAAAACAAAGGCAGTTCATCCTGAGTTGCTGAGGTAGCTTATATATCCTTTTTTGAAATGTGCTAGGGTTAATCAAGTTCCAACATGTATCATTGCAGTCAGGAGAGGCATTTTTCTTCTCCAGTGATGGTAATATAAAACACACATTATTTCAATGTTTCTTTTTTGATACTTACAATTGCAATGTATTTCAATAGTGGGTGCATCTGAAGAAAACTGCTTTTTTCCCCCTCAACACCCCATTCATTTTTCTTGACACTTTTATGCCCTTCCACTTCCCCCTCATTGCAGGCTGCCAGGGAAAGGATAAATAGCATTTGCTAGAAGTCTGAATTAATTGTATGCAAGCTTGTAGAGCAAACAGATAAATCTTTACAGAAAAAGTAAAAAACAAACAAAAAAAACCTGGGATGGTTAAAAGAACTAAGATTTGAAAATGGGGACTGATTGAGGTAATGCTATATTTAAAAGCAATCTGCAGTAGGCAATCTCAGGATTGTTAAGATTAAAGCCTATCCCAGCATAATTACTGAAAAGCAGAAACTAACTGTAGAGCTTTTGAGCCTACATAATTTTGCCTGAGCATAGCATGGACAAAAGTATTTATTGATATACTACTAAAACTCTTGTATCTGTAATGTTTAACTGGGTGAAATGGTGCATCATAGGGCAAAAGATTTGCAACCAAGGTGCCTCAAATGAGCTAACTTACAGAATGTACCCAAATCATGAGTCCCATGGAATTGAAATTTGGAAAATTTTACAAAACATTTTATGACTTAGCCTTTTATACAATAAGACAAAATGTCATAAAACATTTCCTGTGGTCAAGTGCTGATGTCTGACTGTACTATACAGTTATCTCAAGGTAGATATAACTCTGAATATTTCCCTGAATGTTTAATTCGCAGTATATTAGATGCTCTGCTATTGTTGAAGGCATTGAGGAATCTTGTGAGGAATCTGGTATCTCTGAATGATCCAACAAGTTACATTGTCTAGTATTGTATAAATGGAACTAGTTTTTTTAAAAAGTCAATCAAATTGAACAGATAGGATTTCCTTTCTCTTTGAAAGTAAATTCCAGGATCATCCACCACAAATAATGAAAGATAAAAAGGAACCTTGTGCAAATAAATATACTGTCTCAAAGTGCAGTGAAGGCCTTCAGTGTCAAAAGTTCTCGAAGGGAATTAGAAAAGGATTATGTTAACAATAGCTATTTGTTGTAATGTCAAGGATGCACTCTCTAAATTCTACTAATTATTATTACAGGCTAATAATAGTTGCTAAAGAATTTGAGCAGAAAGGTATACTATTCATGTGTGGTTTGCATGAAGGATTTCAAGGAGATCCAAATGGTTGAAGAAAAAACAGATGGTTGGACTAAAGGGGGGCCTTTATTCTCCTGTATTTTAAATGTATAACATTAAGCTGATTTTTGTTGGAATGAAGAAAATCTGGCTGAACACTTTCATTTGTGCTGCTCCCCCTCCCCATCTCAAGTCCAATGAAATTCAACATTCCCTGAATGTTATCAGGTGTATAATTGATAGCTACAACATAAAACAAATGACAACAATAAAAATGAGACACATTTTCAAAAGTTGTTTTTATATTCGAACATTTAAGTCAAACCAGTAAGAAAGCTTATACAAATTTAAAATGGTAGCATTTTTTAAATTACAGTGGTGAAAATGGCATTATACAATTATGTAGTTTGAAAGTAGGGAACACAGGCAGTGGTTCAGAGGATTTACTTCTGAAACTGCCAACTGCCCCCAAAATGGCATGGTTTGTGAGGAGGGTCAGCATTGTCCAGAGAGAAAACAGAATGTTCTGGAAGTCTCTGAAAATTCTGTTCTGATATCAGTTAAGTTATATACATCTCTATTTGGAACCTTCGTTACTATCACACATACACAAAAGACATCTAAAATGTTTATGTAGAACTCTAACAAAAATGTCACCATACAGATTTTCTATTTGATTTCTTGTTCACATAAACCTTCCTATCAGTTGTGTTCAGATCTGCACAAAGATTCCCCAAAGACAGGAAGGGCTACTAATATGAAGTCTCAATCTTCAAAATGTTCCAGTTCCTGATTTGTGACATTTAATCTAAACGGATTGCATGAGAATAACTCATCTTAGTCCATACGATGACCTCCATGAAACTGAATTGTCATGTACTTTTCTTCTTCTTAAATTTTTGAGGAGTACTGAATCTTGCTTATAATTCTTGGAGGCAAACAGAACAAATAATGCTGCCAAATGGTCCAACTCAGTACAGTTTTTCTTCTAAAAGCTTCTTAAAGAGCTTCACAATCCATGAAGATCCTAAGGTAGTGACAATTGTAATACAGTTTTCAACGAAGTATAACATTGACACGGCGACACTGCATTGCACACAGTACTTTAAGAAGCAGTTATAGCAAAGCCCAAGAGCTTTTTTTTTCACAGAAAATTCCATTATAAATAGGACGGTCCACTCGTCTTTTTCCTATTTGCAAACAATTTTTCATTTCCACATCAGGAAAAGAGTGTCCCTCTGTATTTCAAAGACAGTGATTTTGTGTCAGTCAAATCTGAAAAAAACCGCTTCAGTCACTCAATCTGTGCTTGTCACTGTTTTGCCTTTTTCACTATAGTGCCAACAGCTGAAATTACTGTTGTCTTGGATCCACTTGCACTGGTAGTTACAGTTACAACAGCTGGCAATGTTGCAGTGGTTGTGAGAATGGTGGGCTGAGCTATTGTTGTCACAGGAATGGCAGAATCCCATTTGCTTTTCCTCTTCTGTGCATCTGTGTATTGAAAGAAGCATGAATTTTAGCAGTTTTGGTTAGATAAAATTCTCCTTATCACAAATTTACTTTCTCCCAAAAGTAGAATGCTTTTAAAGTCATCCCATCCCACCTCAAAATGCTGTTGAGGTAATCATTAATCTCAAATGAGTTTTCCAATTCAGTGACATTATTGTCACATTTGAGACTAATAAATGATTGCTATACGCTTGCATGTATACTCTATTGATGGAAACCTTATTTATTTATTTAGATTTATAAGACTGCACAACTCAAAGCCAACTTGGGTGGTGAACTATTAAAACCCATAAAGAATATTAATGGGGGGAAACATGCATCATAACCCAAAGCAACAATACATATCAAATGGGCACATCACCAACACATCCCACAGCCTGGGGCCAATGGCCAGTTTTTGAAAAATGTATAAAGGCTTGCAGGGTCAGGGCAACCCAATCCCTGGGGTTCCAGGAGGCAGGCACTACAACAGAAAAGATGCACCTTCTGGACCCCCTCGAACGACAGTGCTTAATAGCTAGGACACAAAGCACATCCACTGTGTCAGAACCTATGAGGCAGGCAAAAATAATAGGACAGAGGTGATTTCTTAGACGACCAGGCCTGAGTGATCACAAGTAGGAACTTGGAGTCCAGGAAAGGGTACAACTTGTAGCATAGCAGATGAATCTGTGAAGGCCATGAACCTATAGAAGACCCTCTGGTCCACAGTTGTCATGAAGTAATTGGACAGAGGCTGTGAAATCCAGGAAGACTCCCACATTGTATGCCAGTCTTGAACAAGACTATGTAGCCTAAACAGCCTCCAGACACTGAACATATCAGCATCACTTGGTTGACCAGTGGTCAAGATGCACAATGTTGAAAGAGTGGTGGACAAATGAGAAAGCATGAAGGAAAAACAAAAATTCAAACCCAGACTTGTCACTTACCTCCACCCGCAGTGCTAGCTGTTGTGGTGGTTGTAGAGGGAGCATTGGTTGTCCCTTTTTTAGTGCCTGTTACAAATTCAATCTAGAGCAGAAAAAAAGGAAGGGCCATTATACTCTGTGCTTCTGATTTTTATCCAAAGGAATTGAGAACATGCCAAAACAAATGATTAAAAACACTTCTGTGCTCCTGTGTTCTTAATTCTGGCAGGATCACAGAGATTCAATAAATGAGCAGTCAGCTATTTACCAGGAAATAATAATGATTTTTCTTCATGAATAGCAGACAAGAGGGGGTCTCCTCCATTTTCCATCTTATTCAAGTACTAGCTCTCTTAATTAGAATAAAGGGGTTTAAACAATTAATTAGAACTTCATACTATTTAACAGTAAAAACATAAGGAAATTAGAACTTCTAGAATGCATGTCTCTACATGCATAACCTTAACACTTTGTATTAACAATGGCAACTCAGTAGCTGGGAAAAACCCAACAATCTCATCATATCTCAAGAACTGCAAGATCATTGCAGAAGGAGGCAAATTGTAGAATTATGCAATCACACTACAATGCAAGGAACAATTTGAATGGCTGTGACAAGAACAAAAGTCCAAATGTGCTACTGAGAAACCCTCACTTGTATCTTATTAACTATTTGGATAATATACACTAAATCCAGGCCTTCACTAGTTAAATATACTGGGTTCTATAGGAAAAACGCCACTGTTTTTAAAAGATAGGGATACACACATACACACAGTCCTCGACTTACAGTACAATTGAGTCCCAAATATCTGTTGCTAAGTGAGACATTTGTTAAATGAGTTTTGCAACTTTTCTTGTCGTAGTTAAGTTAGTAACATGGTTTTAAATGAATCTGGCTTCCCCATTGACTTTGCTTGTTGGAAGGTCACAAAAGGGGATCATGTGACCCTGGGACACTGCAACCGTCATAAATATGAGCCAGTTGCCAAACGTCTGAATTTTGATCACATGAGCATGGGGATGCTGTAAGTGTGAAAAGCACATCAGTCATTTTTTAGTTATAACTTCAAATGGTCACTAAATGAACTATTGAAAGTTGAGGACCATCTGTGCACACATAAATATAAAAAAAAATTGTAAAGTGTTCCATTATTGAGAATAGAAACATGGGTCTCTCTCTCTCTCTCTCTCTCTCTCTCTCTCTCTCTCTCTCTCTCTCTCTCTCTCTCTCTCTCTCTCTCTCTCTCTATATATATATATATATATATATATATATATATATATATATATATATATACATACTTACTTCTCATCCTTATCTATGCTTTTGGAATACTTCAAAATATCTGTCATTGCTGTTCAAGAAAAGAAGGTCTAATTTGTTTAATTTAATTAACTGCAATCAAAGTGCAAACTGGGGGATGCAACACTTTAATTTTTTACATTCCAAAATGTAACTGATACATACCTTTGTTCGCTCTTTCTTGGCCTTTTCTAGCTTGTCCATTTCTATTTTCTGAGCTTTTGCTGAAAAGAGAGCCACAACAACAGTAAACACATGCAACAGATTCAAATATGTGGGTCAAAGAAGTAGTATCTCAAATAATACTTTCAGCATCTAACCCTATCTAATAAAAACATTTATTCCCCAGATTACAGAATATTGCAAGTTTCCTCTAATTCAGTTAAAGGGGAAATAAAAGCCATAACTAATGCTTTGAGCTCTTTAAAAAAAAGGGGGGAGAGAAAGAGAGAGCTTATAAAGACAAATGCATTATTTTAACCACACATTTTCTCCATTTGGTTAGAACTTAGAAATCTAGAGAAAGTACAAAAGAAAAATCTTCAATACCTAGTGCCTCATAATATGAATCTTCAGACCAGCCATGAGGATCAAACATATCCTAAAAGAAAAGACAGAAAAAAGCCCTGTTACATATGTCGATTTTATATTATGCAATATTTAAAGAAAAGGAACCCTGACTTCACATCCTAGTTAAATGTAGATTATCATAAACAATTTATAGATGTATTAATTAAAGAGATAAAAACTAGAATCATATTGTCATAAAATATTGTGCTTTTTAAAAAAAATTCCCTTTTTTGTATATAATTCAAAACAGTGAATGTATCGAATTGTGCTATGACAATGGGAATTACAATGGACGACAAATTCTGGGAAGCAATGGTTCTAGAGCTTGATCTTTTATTTTTTTGTCCTTGCCATAAGAAAAGTAATTCATAATAATGGCAGAATATGTATGATACAATACATCAGAAACATATCCTATAATTGCTCCAATTTGGCAATACTCCTTTTTTTTCATGCCACAAAAAAAGCTGCTTCTAGTCAGAAAAAAATATAAGCTTCCAGGCTAGGTGGGAAAGAATTTATTTTTATAACCAACAAAAGATCTACAAAAAGCTGTGATCAATCCAGTCTTTTAAATCTACTTACCTTTGGATAATTAGTGCCAAGTTCATCAATTGCACAAAACTGGATCAGCTTCTCATAGATGCTGAAACAAAACATTGCAACGTATTACTTCCATTACTTCATGTCCCATTTCAAGTCACTGAATAGTTTCTGGCTTGGAGTCAACCAGTGTGTGTGTTGGACATATTTATGCTCAAAATTGATATTGGATTATATTAGTTATATTGTTTTTGGGAAGCTTTCCTAAAACACTAGAAAGAATGTCTAAATTTATTTCTCAGAGGTCCGCGGGACAAAGGGAAGGGGGAATCAAGGCTGAAAATTCCCACGAGGTTACCTACTATTGCTCTTCCTCTTCTACAGATGAAATGTTCCAAATCTCCTGCCTACAAAACCCATAGCGAACCATTTAACTGAACTTGGGGGGAATGATTAAGAAGGAGCCATCAACCCTTTGTAGGACATGGTATTCAGAATATAGACTGTTCACACGGCTTGCTTAAAATATCTGTAGAGTGGGCATGTCCAATCTTTTGGCTTTCCTGGGCCACACTGAGTGAAGAGGAATTGTCTTGGGCCACATATAAATAAGTCTCCTTTTTAAAAAAATATTTTTATTATGATCTTGGGCTCCATTAGTTAGTTGTCAACCTGCTCCCAGGTTGTACATGCCTACTATAGAGGATATTTGGGGGTGGGGGGGAGAACCCAAACATCAACCAGTTTGCACATATTTTCATCAAGCTTAAATAATATATTTTACACAGAAAAGCAATTGTTAAACTGTCTTCTCTTCAGTCCAATCCCAACTCATGAAGAATCCACAGATAGAGTGGTAGTACAGTATATATTTCTGGACTCTGGGTCTTCATTGTTGCATATCAATGTGAGAGCTGGAGTTCACAACTGTCAATATTGTGCCGAGGTGGCACAGCAGTTAGAGTGCAGTACTGCAGGCCACTTTAGCTGACTGTGTTCAGCAGGTCAGCAGTTCAAATCTCACCGGCTCAAGGTTGACTCAGCCTTCCATCCTTCCGGGGTAGGTAAAATGAGGACCCAGATTGTTGGGGGCAATGTAAATATATATATACATTGCTTACTGGTGTACACCGCTTAGAGAGTGCTTGCACTTAAAGCGGTATATAAGTCTCATAAATAAATAAATAAATAAATAAATAAATAAATAAATATTATGATCCCAGAAAAGCCCTTGTATGAACATTTGGCGTTCACTCAAGTTTTGAGCTTGGTGGCCTAGAAATGTGCTCCCAGACTACTACTTACCTGGGGTTTCGGAACTCTTTTTTCCTTTGAATAATCAAATTCATGTCCATGCCTTCCTTCATTTTCCTTTCATACAGCTTCTGTATTTTGTCCTAAAGGTAAAATATAAGAAGAGAAGCAAAGGAATGATAATAGTCAGGCATTGAAAGAGAAGGTAAATTGACACTTCCCCCCCCCCCAAAAGAGCAAAAGATGAGGTATACAGAACTTAGTACCTTCCAGATGTTTTGAATTAAAGCCCAGCTATTCTTGGAAGACAGGGTCAATGGCTCTCAAGCTGTTGCTGAACTAGAGCTCCTAGCATCCTCTCATAATTGGCTGTATTAGCTAGTGCTACTTTGGGTTTGTGTTCAGTAATGTCTGAAGGGTCACAGATTCCTCAACCCTGCCTTAATCACACTGCAACAGTATAATATTCATAATCTATTCTGTGCGAACTAGACTGTTCTTGTACAGATAGATGGTTGCACTTAAAAAAATTAAAGAGAGTAGCTATAATTATAATTATGCATGGTCACACTTTAACCATGAATTTTGGTTGATAAACTAAGGAAATGGGTCCTTAGACTGTAAAAAAATATAGATCTAGGGCTGAACATGTCTGAAAGCACAAAAACCTCCTTAATATGTGTGAAAGGTCTCTTAAGAGTTCAGCGTACAACAGCTTGTCTTGAAAGGAAAAGAATCAGATACCATGATACATAAACACAAGCATTCCTCCCACTTCAAAGAGTGTTCTTCAGAATCCCACACCAATAAGTTGTTGTGTTAGATATTGTTAATGATTTCAGCCCCCTTTGTGTTAAAAAGAAACAGGATGAATATGTGAGTGTCAAGTGACAACTAACAGCATCATTTGGCTTAATAATAATCCTGTTAGACAGGATCTCTTTACAATTATAAAGCTATTATAATAGGAGTGAATATGAAAGAAAATGTGCTTGGTCCGATATTTTTGCAGAATCTCAGATTAAGATGGTGATTAAATACCGAAGATCTTAGTGATTACAAAGAAGAAGAAAAAATCAAGGAAAACCTTACCTGTAAGTGGTTGGAACATCTGCCTTGTGGTTCTTGGGGGATTTTGATCTCATCAGGTGACATGTTCCTTACCCGCTCAGAGAAGGAAGCTAGAAAGAAAGAAGACATCAGAATTAGAAGTTTTAGCAAATTAAGCTTATTTGTAAAAGTTGCATCGTGATAATTAACTATAGATAATCCAAACAAGTAAGTGGTTCCTAAAATCTGAGGAGCAAGTTAATTGACAAACAAGTATGCCTACAATACACTTCTTTCTGTATTTTTTGAACTATAATTTTCACAATCTCCAACCACTTCCTACTGGCCACATTGGCTAGAGTTGGGAGAAGCTGCAGTTCATGCTAAAAAGCCAACACAGTGCTGGGCTGCATTAACAGAGGGATAGAATCAAGATCACGTGAAGTATTAATACCACTTTACAATGTCTTGGTAAGGCCACACTTGGAATATTGCATCCAATTTTGGTCACCACGATGTAAAATAGATGCTGAGACTCTAGAAAGAGTACAGAGAAGAGCAACAAAGATGATTAGGGGACTGGAGGCTAAAACATATAAGGAATGGTTGCTGGAATTGGGTATGTCTAGTTTAACAAAGAGAAGGACGAAGGGGGACATGATAGCACTGTTCCAGTATCTCAGGGGCTGCCACAAAGAAGAGGGAGTCAAGCTATTTTCCAAGGCACCTGAAGGCAGGACAAGAAGCAACGGATGGAAACTAATCAAGGAGAGAAACAACCTAGAAATAAGGAGAAACTTCCTGACAATTAGAACAATTAACCAGTGGAACAACCTGCCTCCAGAAGCGGTGAATGCTCCAACATTGGAAGTTTTTAAGAAGAGACTGGACAGCCATTTGTTTCCTGCGTGAGCAGGGGGTTGGACTAGATGACCTCCAAGGTCCCTTCCAACTTTATTATTATTATTATTATTATTATGGATCATCGCACAGTCAGCCAGATGTTCAGACTGGATTTGGCATTTTGTCTACCTATCGAGTCCTTACCCAGGACCTGGGATAGGCAGATGTGGATGTTTGATGGTATTACAGCTATCGTCGCAGGATGGAAGCAGTTCCTAGTAAGGCCGCCTTTTGCAATTGACTAATAGCGAATTTGTCAATGCCAATGGTGTTCAAGTGGTGCTCCAGTTGTTTTGGGATTGCACCCAAGGAGCCTATGACTATTGGTACTACCCTTGCTTGCTTTTGCCACAGTCTTTCTATTTCTATTTGTAGGTCTTTGTATTTTGTTATCTTCTCCAGTTCTTTCTCTTCTATTCTGCTATCTCCAGGCACTGCCACGTCCACTATCCAGACTTTTTTGTCTTTCTTATCTGACAATTGTTAAGTCTGGGGTGTTATGTTGCAGGTGCTTGTCTGTTTGAATTCTGAAGTCCCAGAGCAGTTTAATTTTATCATTTTCTATGACTTTCTCTATTTTATGATCCCACCAGTTTTTGCTTACAGGCAAATGATATTTTTTGCAGATCTTCCAATGCACCATTGTTGCTACTTTGTCATGCCGCTGCTTGTAGTCAGTCTGTGCAATCTTCTTGCAACAGCTTACCAGGTGGTCCACTGTTTCTTCAGCTTCTTTGCATAGGCGGCACTTACTGTCTGTTGCTGTCTTCTCAATTTTGACTTTATATGCATTTGTCCTTAAGGCTTGGACTTGTGCAGCCAGAATTAGTCCTTCGGTCTCTTTCTTCAATTTTCCTGCTCTTAGCCATTGCCAGGTCTTGTTAATATCTGCTTTCCCAGCTATTTTTTTTAATGTATTGGCCATGTAGTGCTTTGTCTTCCCATGCCTCTATTCTGTTTTTCATTTGGTCTTTCTTGTAGGCCAGTTTGGTCTCTCCAGTAGTCAGTAAGCCTTCCTGATATATTAATTTCAGTGCATCTTCATCATTGTTCTTCAGATATTCTTCCAAAGCCATTTTTTCTTCTTCAACCATCTGATGTACTTGTAGCATTCCACGCCCACCTATTTGCCTTGGTAGATAAAGTCTATCAATGTCACTGCGTGGATGAAGGGCATGATTCATTGTCATTATTTTTCTGGTCTGCCTATCCATTGCTTTTAGTTCTGCTTGAGTCCAGTCCACTATTCCAGCTGTGTACCTAATGACTGGAATTGCCCAGGTGTTGATTGCCTTTATGGTATTTCCTCCATTGAGTTTGGACTTTAAGATCTTCTTCACTCTCTTGATGTATTCACCTCTAATCTTTTTCTTGACTTCAGTGTGCTTGATGTTGTCAGCTTGAAGGATACCCAGTATTTGTAGTAATCTTCCTCATCCAGACTCTTAATGTTATTTTCGTGGGGCATCTTGATTCCTTCAGTTTTCACTACTTTTCCTTGTTTGATAGTAACTGTGGCACATTTGTCCAAGCCAAACTCCATAACAATATCTTGGCTATATATACGGACAGTGTTGAGCAGCGATTCTATTTCAGATGATGTTTTTCCATACAGCTTCAGATCATCCATGTAAAGGAGATGGGATAGTCTGGTAGATGTTTTTGATGTTTGATAGCCATGTCCTGAGTTGTTGTTGTTGTTGTTGTTGTTGTTGTTATTATTATTATTATTATTAGTAGTAGTAGTATTTTGCAGGGATCAGGACTACTGGTGTTGTTATATAGCCAAAATTTGCATTTCACAACCTATAATTTTGTAAGTTGCTCGCAGTCATCCAATTCATTAAATTTGTTTAATAAATAAAACAACCTTCAATATGAAAGATCTTCAATTTAGAAGTTTTTTTCCCCATATATAAGCAAACTGTTTGTATATTTTCCCTAAGTCATGTGTTAAATCAAAGGTGTGATTATTGGACTAAAATGTGAGAGCCTCAGCATGCTACAAGATGCTTGTTGATGTTCCTCATTTAAAACACATTCCAAAAGGCACAATCTGATAAATATTCAGCAGGGTTGTGTATAGGCTATTGGCAAAGGAGAGAACTGGAGACACGGGACACCTTACAGGAACAGAAAAATGGCTGCTTTTCTAAGTGTATTATTCCAAGGCAACATTGTGTACTGCACTCCAGTTCTCTCCTCAGCATGAGGCTCTGCCTCTAGTCTGAAAAATTCATTTGTGAACAAATGTTTCTGCTGAATTTTCAATTGTTACTATAAAGAACATAATAGGGTGGGGCAGTTCATGGAAAAGAACAAAACCTCTTTTCATTAGTTTTGACCATTTTAACAGTACTAATCTTTGAACCTCCTCTGGTATATTGCATCTTTATTACCTTTATCTGCCGTCTATGAAAAAAAATACACACAAGTAACGGTAAAGCCACAAGTAAGTGTGTAGCTTACTAAGAGTGACTCTCAGCCATGTCTTTGTTGTGATATATAAATAATACATTCATCTGAATTTTTGTTCTACTGACAAGCTTTGGAAATTTGTTGGAGACGCTACAGTTGGAGCTTTTCTTCTAGGATGGTATGCAAGGCTGAATTCTCCAGCAGTCACAAGTGACAAAGAAATGCTCGTTGACATTTCCAGAGAATGTGTTTTTATGAGAAAAGAAATCTTGCCAACATCTCCAGAGAAACGCAACCTGGTTTCAGAATCTCTTGACAACAAGCTACAGACTTGCTTCAGATTAGCGCTACTGTTTGCGAGGGTTGGGTAATTGTTTTTAATTAAGAACTGCACTTCAGTAGGGGCAGGGGAGGCAAAAAGCAAAACACAAAAGATATTTATTGATCTTGGAGATTAGACAAGAGTCCCAACACCTGGGACAAGATGAGGGGGGCTTTTTTTGGATTGCATAAGGGCAAAATCCTGAATATATTACTTAGCCTAAACCAGTGATGGCAAACCTTTTAGAGACCGAGTGCCCAAAAACCGCCCCCCCACCCATCCCTGCTCCGCCCTGCCCATTGGTCCACCTACCACCTCCACGGCGTGCCACAGATCACCCAGGCAACCCAGCAGCGCCATGGTGGTCACGGCCTCTGCCAATGCCCCACAGCATCATCTGTGCGCAATGTGGCGCAAGGGCAGAGTCTTGTCCCCACTGCCTGGCTACCATGTCCTTGGCTGCGCTGCTTCACGTGGGCCGCGCCCAAGGGTGACTCTCCTCCAGGGGGGCTGCTGGTGAGAAGGGGGCTGTGGGAGGAGGCGGAGATGGGGAGACGGTGCGTGTGCCCACAGAGAGGGCTCCGAGTGCCGCCTCTGGCACCTGTGCCATAGGTTCGCCACCACTGGCCTAAATTGAAATCAATAGAGAATGGAGAACTTAAGTGTATATTTACTGTGTGCCACCTGTAAACAAAAGTTTTGGATTTATCTAAAACGTCTCCTTACATTAACAAAAAATGAAGAAGACATGCTCAGACAAATCACACAGAAACAGCATGCTGCTTGGAGAGTGACTTAACAATCAAATAGCAAATACTACACAGCAGATAATAATTCTCGATTGTGGTGTATTCTATGCTCATTTTCTAATGGGTGCCTAAAGCCCCCCTCGGTCCTCCATGGCCCAATGGGAGACTTGATGCCAAATTTTTCTGTTATCAGTTTAGCAAATAGCTAACATATTATACTAATCCTTTAAGCAAAAGACAGTCAAAGAGAGAAAAGGTTATAATATATATTAAAAAGCAATTAGTGGGGTAGGGAAAGCCTCTGATGGGTATTTAAATCGACTGGATACCTAAGCTTGAGATTAGTACAGTATATCGAAAGAAGAAAACAAAGGGTAATTACATGTGGTATTTTCACTCCAGTATCTTTCCTTTGAAAAGGAGCACAATGCCAGGATACGATGGTAGACATTTATGCATTCTTCCTTATGCGTTTTTGGCAAAGATGGAATTTTACTTTTGTTTTAAGCCCAATCAGTGACACCGGGCTACAGCTCCTGCCAGGGTGTGTCCCCTTGCTGCTTTCCAGACTAAAGAACACTGCATTGGGAATCCAGGATGTTGACTCTAGATATGACTCACCCCTATGAGCACAACCAGCACTTTCGTAAAATAAATAATTATTCATACCTTGCAGCTATGGTTTTGACAAAAGGTTTGACTAAGGCAATGCAAGCCACTGTAATAAGCTGGGACTTGACTGGAATTAGAAATGTATCATGAAATAGTCCAACATCAGCAGTATAAGAAATCTGCTTTGTTCAGGTTTTTTTTAACCCACATACTGCATAGATGTGCTTTATTGGCAGAACATAACCCAGCATTAAAAAATCTTTTCTAGGGGTTGAAGCACCAGGCTAGAAGCTGGGAGACCTTGAGTTTTAGCCTCATCTAAGCCCAAGACCAGCTGGGTGACTTTGGCCAGTCACTCTCTTTCTCTCAGCCTTAAGAAGCAGGCCATGGGAAAGCACTTCCGAAACCTTGCTAAGAAGACTACAGCAACTGGCCAAGGCAGTCGTCGCCAGGAGTCAAGACTGATTCAAAGACACAAAACCTCCCCTGCTTTTAAAGGAGCTCTACAGAGCTGTTATCATCTTGCATTTCTCCAAACCAAGAGCCTTCATGGCCTTATTGGGACAGGTAAACCTCAAGGTACGACCACAACTGAGTCCAAAATTTCCGTTTCTGACAGGGGCCGTTCTTAGGTTTTGACCCATTTTAGGACTTAATTATTGTCACAGATGTTAAGTGAATCACTGTAGCTGTTAAATTAACAACACGGTTGTAAAGTGGATCTGGCTTCCCCACCGACTTTGCTTGTCGGAAGGTCGCAAAAGGGGATCACATGACTCCCCTGGGACACTGCAGCTGTCATAAATATAAACCAGTTGCTAAGCTTTCAAATTTTGATCATCTGACCATGGAGATGCTGCAGTGGCCATACGTGTGAAAACTGGCCTTAAGACACTTTTTTCGGTGCCACTGTAACTTTGAACAGACACTAAACAAATGGCTGTACCTATACTTCTGCCACGTATTAATAGGATGCAGTTTCTGCTCAAATCAGCTACAGATCTTTCCTTGTGCCTCACAGGGAAATGATATTATGCCTTTACCATATTTTCTGAAAACTGAGTTTTTCATTAGTTTTCAAGCTTTCCCTCTAACAGATGGATGAATACGATGAATAAGGTTTACAGCAACCATTTGAAATGGACTGTTTCCTCAGAGAAAGCCTTTCTGTCTAGCAACCCACTAGTTATAGCAGTAACAAAACATCAACAATACAATTACACAACCAACCAAGTAAGCAATCGCAGGAAAATTAAAACCATTCAATAAAAAAAATCATAGAAACAATCAACAGATATGCAATAATATACATAGCAACGTTAAGAATAGTTCCATTTTAAATAATTTCCTAAAGCAAAGTAAGGTTGATTATTTTTGCATGTAGTTATAGCAGACTACCAGAAATTCTGCAACGTGAGTTATAGAAAAGGCATCACCATTATCCAGGTCTGTGCTCTAAAGTGTGATTGTATTGTCTGCATCTTATCTCTCTACAAAGCACAGAAGAAGAGTGTGTTTTCACTTCTATGTCAAAACTTCCCAACCATTTTATGAATTGTTAAACATGCTAGCATAAAATGGCTGCAAACTAGGACAAGGCAATCTAAGTAAAGTCAATCATAATACGATTCCTAAAAAGATTCTGTAAATCATTGCGGCAATATATTATAGAAATGTAACTCTCACTTTACAAAAGGCACATAAGACTGAAACTTGCCTTTTGCTTCATGGAGTAGGAGCTGCCCATGTCCAAGAAAAAGCAAGCCAATTAGCCCTCTGCAAATTTATTTCTCCAAGATCACTCATAAGTCAAACCACACATTTATTGCCCAAGTCAAATGCCTGTTCAATTAACACTCTTATCAACTATTTTTTCCCTCCGGCAACTTGCTAAAACTTAATTCTTCTCTTTATTCCAGGGCCATCAATCATTTTCAACTGTTTTGTGTTCATCTTATGGAAACTGATTCATTCATGCTCTGCTATACCTCACTCCTATCTCTTTCTGCCCTCCCCTCCCCCCTCCACCCAATTTACCTGACAGTTCTGAAATCCCTTTTTTTTTTCATGTTTTCACTGAGCCATTGACTATGCTACAGTCTAATGTGTTGGGCTCTATTTGTATTTGTATTTAATTTTATTTATATGCCGCCCAATCCCAAAGGACTCAGGGTGGCGTACAGAGTTAAAACAATCATAAAACAATAAAATAATACAGTCATACCGCGAGTCCGATCATATCCTGCCCCCCCCCCGGGGACATCAGCCCCAGGCCTGCCAGAACAGGAAAGTTTTAACGGCTTTCTTAAAGGCCGGCAGGGTGAGAGTAGTTCGAACCTCGGGGAGAAGTTGATTCCACCAGGTCGGAGCCACCACAGAAAAGGCCCTTCCCCGAGGGCCCACCAGCCGACATTGTCTGGCCGACGGGACCTGAAGGAGGCCCAATCTATGGGACCTCACCGGTCTCTGGAAACTGTGCGGCAGAATGCGGTCCTGTAAGTAACCTGGCCCTATGCCATGAAGGGCTTTAAAGGTGATAACCAACACCTTGAATTGCGTCCGGAGACCCACAGGAAGCCAGTGCAGCTCGCGGATGATAGGTGACACGTGGGCGTACCTTGGCGCGCCCACAATCGCTCTCGCGGCTGCGTTCTGAACCAACTGCAGCCTCCGAACGCCCTTCAAGGGTAGCCCCATGTAGAGCACGTTACAGTAATCCAGTCTTGAGGTGACAAGGGCATGAGTGACTGTGAGTAAAGCCTCCCGGTCCAAATAAGGCCGCAACTGGTGCACTAGGCGAACCTGTGCAAAGGTCCCCCTGGCCACAGCCGATAGATGTTGTTCCAGATTTAGCTGTGAGTCCAGGAGGACACCCAAGTTGCGTGTCTGCACTGAGGGAGGTAAATTTGCCCCCCCCCGGACTAATGATGGACCATCCAGTTGGCCTTTGGGAGGCAAGACCCAGAGCCACTCGGTCTTGTCAGGGTTGAGTCTAAGCCTGTTCACCCCCATCCAGACCCTCACATCTTCCAGGCACCGGCACATCACGGCGACTGCTTCACTGAAAGGACACGGGGTGGAGATATATAATTGGGTATCATCCGCGTACTGATGATACCTCACCCCGTGTCGCCGAATGATCTCTAATCTCCATGATTGTCATTTCTCAATGACTCTGGTAATTGGAAGATGGCATTTAAGCCAGCAGTTCAGTTCATATATGTATATTAAAGTGTAGGTGTATGTGTGTGTATGTATATATGTATATGGTTGGAAGAGTAATTAAGAGGGGGGGGAAACTAATTCATTATAGTGTTCATTAAGTGGGGTTGGACTGGATTGGTATGATATAGACTGAAGACTCCTGGTTAGCCACAGACTTCACTGGATAGTTTTGGAATGCCCATCTTCCCTCAGAGCAATCTACCTTACAGGATTGTTTTGGAAGTTTTGGTGTAAAATAAGTAGAGATCATCATGTAAGCTGTCTCGAGCAGCATTAAAAAAAATCCCCCCCGCAAAGCCTAACTGTAGTGAAATCATAAGAAGCCAGAGGTAGAACAAAAGCCTAAACATTTAATTTTTGAAGGAAACATGCTCAAGCTTGTAAAAGGAAAATACAAGAATATTGTGCATCTCTCTCGCGTTGAAATGGTTTCCTGCTTTAGCTACATTGTAAAATTATGCTTATATCTAAGTTTTTAATAAGTAATATTAATAACTAATAAATAGGTACTAAAAAAACGGGGGTCAGCCACTCTTTTGCAAAATGGAATTGTCTGTCTACTTATGCCTGGCTGAAATACTGCACCTAAGTGTTCAATGTGCAGAAAAATCTTTGCAGAAACAACAGGGAAGTAATCAACTTTAAACTGGCATTCTCTTCAGTCCAAGATTGTCTTAATCTTATGCAAAGCAGATCAGGTTTTCTTACTTTCTGGCAGCAGCAAAAGAGACATATCAGGAGCATCAATGTGCCAATCAATCATACATTTTGCAACAGAAATACAGTTAACTAACTTATTCAGGGATACACAATGAAATCAACATATTTTAATATTAATTCTTGATAATGTTCCTTTCCCAACTTTTGTATATCACCTTAATAACACTGGACATTTTTGCAAGCACTAAAATAAAATCTTAGTATTGTAACTATTATTTTTTCTAAATGATGGATAACTGTTTGGGTCTTTGATCCCTGCATCAGGAAGAAGCATAAATTCATTTATAGAAACAAATCTGTGGGACCAGGAAGAGATTTGGATTTTTTTTTCTCTAGCAACTTTTCCCAGCAATATCCTCAGTGTCACTCAAGGATATAAAATGGATTCATTTAATAATTAAAGAGAAAATAAACAAAGTGGGTAGAAACGACTGCATGCTCTTCTGTAGTTGGGCCAAAAAAAAAAAAAAAAAAAAAGGATCCCTGCTATAGTTTATGATGTAGATGAACAGGATAACCATTGCCCTCTGTAGCCATTTGAGGGAAAGGAGGAATATTTGGAATGAATGGGAAAGGACAAGCATGAAAAAGAAACAATTGCATAAGAAAAATGAGAATGATAGCTGCCAGAGGTGTAATTCTTACACAAAGGAGGAAAAGTAACTGGTTGTGAAGAGGTTGTGAAGCATGCACTTGAGCAAACTCAAGCAAAGAAGAAGAAACATGAGTAGGCAGAAAAAAGGTCACAGGGAAGAGAAAGGAGTCCATTAAGAACTGTTCTTTTACTGTACATGGCCATCTTGCAAAAGTTAGGCCCAGACTATAAAGACTTTCTTCTTTCACCTCTATCCACTGGCCTTGTCTGGTGTTATAATGAGGACAGAATTGCATGAAAATTCAAAATAGCATTAATTGTTCAAGAAAAACAAGGTGAGGAAAAATAATATTTTTTTACAATACTTACCAACTAACTCCTGCGGATCCCTCTTTTCCAGTTCTGAAAAGTCCTAAGTACAAGCACAGAAGAAAAACAACAAAGGATTAGCAAAAATACCTGTACGGTATTCAGGATTTGTAAATGCCTGAATGTATAGTATTTACTACCCAAGTCTATGCAATAAATTGCTACTCAGAGGTTCACAATACAGATGCTTAGCATGTGCAACCAAGAGCCTAAATTTGGAACAAAAAAGATTATACCTCAATTGAACTGTAGAAAATCAGAATCAACCGTATTCCCAATGTATCATCTTTTTTTTTACAATTTTTTTACAACTGAATGCGTTAACTTATTCCAGTAATGTCTTTGAACTTTGATACAATTTATCTTGCTGTTAGAAGGCCAGCACCAAATTTGTTGTTTGAAATGAAACAATAAAAGGGGGAACCAAAGAGCTTGAAAAGTATCTTTCCAAATTGGGGGAATGAGGTGCACAAATTGCAGGGTAAGATGCTGCACAATGCAGCAAAGCAACCTAATTTTATGTACATGGTCTGAGGTGATGGTACCTGACAGGAAAGTGATTTAGGATTATGGTGGATAGCTCAATGAGTTCAATAACCCAAGGCCAGGTTGCTGTAAAAAAAGGAAAGTTCCATTATGAGAATCCTTTGGAGCGAAGTATAAAAACTAGCAGACATGATGAAATATTGTTTTACTCTTTTGATCCCCTAACCCCAAAAAGAAGCAGAAATGGATAAAATTCTCAAAAGTAAGAGCTTTTGAAGCAGTGGTTCTCAACCTGTGGGTCGGGACCCCATTTGGGGTCAAACGACCATTTCACAGGAGTCGCCAAACAACACAGTCCGCCATTTTTTCCCCCCTTTTCCTTAGCTGTGCTACTCCCTTTTATTCTATTGGCTTTTGAAAGCCAATAGAATAGACTCTCTTGAATAGAGTCTAATTCTATTGGCTTTCAAAAGCCAATAGGAATTGTCCAGGCTGTCTCTGCCCTGCTGAGCCCGCCAAAAGTCCCATTCTGCAAACGGTGCTGCACCAGTTGAGTAGTCCTCGATTTACGACCGGTTGAGTAGTCCTCGACTTACGACCGGTTGGGGGTCGTGGCATTAAAAAGGTTGAGAACCACTGTTTTGAAGGAAGATTATGATAATGGGGTTTTTTTAGGCTTAAGGAAAGAGCCAATAAAAGAGATATGACTGTCTGGATATCAATTGCACATGATTATGGAGAAATGAATAAAGAAACTTTTCTCCCTCCCTCATAATGGCCAATACCAATCAATGCAGCAGTTGAATACAGATAAAAGGGGGAAAAAAACTATTTCTGACAAGCAAAACAATGGAATTCACCAACATGCATGATATAGTTGGCAGGAAGAATATATATTCTCATTATTACATGGGAAACATGTGATAGATTAGGTTTTTGTGTTCATGCCTGGCTTGTGTTATCATAGGTGTGTCTGCTTACCATGAAAAAAAAATCTATTGGATTAGTGCTCACGAATTTCAACCTCAAAGTTAATAACTTGCAGATTCTTCTCCCAATGTTGAAATCACTATTGAGAAAAAAATTGTTCACACATTTTTGTAAGCAAGACCATACAGATATGAACTTGAATGTATTTGAAGAGATATCGGACTTCCGGCCTTACAACTGATTAGATTCAGCTGATAGTGTCACAGCACTATGGTGTTATAGCAGCTTTATGTTTACATATGGAAGAATTTACTCAGAACTCTCCTGTAAGTGCAAAATATGAGAAAGTACTACTACCAGGAGGAAGGGTGCAAGGGACATGAAGAAAAATGGCAAGCATAAAAAGCACAAATTCTTTTTAAATTAGACACCGGGAGCAGTAGCAGGTCTTTTGTAATTTGTCAAGACTTTGCCTTAATATCGAAGGTATGCCTAACACTGCACTGATACTACTCATTCAAATGGGAAACACTCCCATTTGTTACCTTAGCAATATGACTGCCACAAATACTACTATTTCTATTTCGCGTGAGCATAGCAGGGGATTTTGTTTTAGAAGGCCAACATTCAGTGAGTTACTTTGGAAATTGGCTCGACAAAATCCATAATGTTAACATAACCTTTTCTTTAAAAAAACCTCTAAGGGATTAAGACCTTTTCTCAATCATTAAAGATAGTTAAATAGCTTTACATAGTTTTCTTTCCCTAAAAGAAAGTTATATCATTAGAAAAATATTCATCATAAATAGGAAGAATATAGTTTGTTTTCCTTCCTTCCTTCCTTCCTTCCTTCCTTCCTTCCTTCCTTCCTTCCTTCCTTCCTTCCTTCCTTCCTTTGCCAAGCAGCAACCTTTTGCTGCAGCAAACACCATCTGCTTTATTTCTCATACAACTGTGTACTTAATGATACACATTCAAATTCTGCATTAAAGTCAAATATTAAATGCCAAACTACATTTTTAAAGCTGATCCTATGCAAAGATTCCACTTGCATAGCCAATTTTCAAAATAAAGGCAGGGGTAATAATAAAGGCTAGAAGACATAAAATCCAGGAGATTTTTTATAAAATCTAGGAAAGTTTAAAATGTACTAAGTCAGCAGGCCAAAAACTGTTTTCAAAATCAAATAATACTATGGGCAATGTTAACCTCTTAAAACAAGTAATGGCAACATCATTTTAAAAGAAGCATTTCCTTTTGACGCTCACAGAGGTATGGATTCCTCTTAGAAGGTGGCTGTATTACCTAAGCATGAATTTTGCATCCTGAGTATTTTCAAAAAAGGGAAAAAAAAGAGTCTGCAATCATGTCAGCTGGAGCCTGACTACCCATCTCCATATTGTAAAACAAGATCTAACATATCAAGTACGTTTTGATTAATTGTTTGCACTTATAATTGAAGACTGCCTGGACAAGTCCCTGCAGTTTTTTGACAAGGCTTTTTAGAAGTGGTTTGCTGAGAGAAAATGACTAGCCCAAGGTGATCCAGCTGGCTTTGTGCCCAAGACAGGACTAGAACTTGTGGTCTCCAAGTTTCTAGCCTGATGCCTACACAAAACTGGCTGTCCCATTAAGAAACTATTCCTATTCTATTCAAACGGAAAGAACAATTACAAGGCAGTTATCATTGTGCTCTATTGTTCTCATCATGGCTAAGTATACATTCCTGTGTACAAAGGCTAATGAAAAAAAAAATAAAAAAAAAACTTGATGATCCCATCAGAAACAGACTGTTCTGGGAATCTCACAAACAAGGCAGGAAAATAACCTCCCCCCCCCACTCCTGTGTGTTTGTTGGAATCCAAAAGGGCACTATGATGAACATAGGTTCTAGTCTATTCTCAAATACAACACCATAGGTAGAAATTCTAACTAATAATAATAATAATAATAATAATAATAATAATAATAATAATAATAATAGTAAAGTTGGAAGGGACCTTGGAGGTCATCTAGTCCAACCCCCTGCTCGGGCAGGAAACCCTACACCATTTCGGACAAATGGCTGTCCAGTCTCTTCTTAAAAACTTCCAGTGTTGGAGCATTTACTGCTTCTGGAGGCAAGCTGTTCCACTGATTAATTGTTCTCACTGTCAGGAAGTTTCTCCTTAGTTCTAGGTTGCTTCTCTCCTTGATTAGTTTCCACCCGTTGCTTCTTGTCCTGCCTTCAGGTGCTTTGGAAAATAGCTTAATTCCCTCTTCTTTATGGCAGCCCCTGAGATATTGGAATACTGCTATCATGTCCCCCCTTGTCCTTCTCTTCGTTAAACTAGACATACCCAATTCTCGCAACCGTTCCTTATATGTTTTAGCCTCCAGTCCCCTAATCATCTTTGTTGCTCTTCTCTGTACTCTTTCTAGAGTCTCAACATCTTTTTTACATCGTGGTGACCAAAACTGGATGCAGTATTCCAAGTGTGGCCTTACCAAGGCATTGAAGAGTGGTATTAATACTTCGCGTGATCTTGATTCTATCCCTCTGTTAATGCATTGATTCAACCAATGAGTATGTTTTTTCACCAGGAAATATACCAAAGAGAATTCTTCAAGATAAACGTAGCAAATGGAATTTGCATCCTTTTGACAAAAAGGTTCAACATCACTCTCTAACTTTCTTGGGCACCAGCTTAGCTGTGTGGAAATCTCTCCTGGCTCCCATTTCCTTATATAAGAATGAGTAACAAGATATACTGTTCTCCCTTTAGGCAAGGTTTGCATTCTCTGATGTTGTAAACTTACTGAGCAGCAGCTTCTCTTAATTTTTTATGAGGCTGCTACAGCAATAAGGCAACTGCAATCACATTAAGGGCTATTTTGTTCTAACAGCACTCTTCTAGTTTGAATTTGGTACTACAATGCTCTGCCACACAAAGCTTGTGTTTTGTGTTTCTTACTCACTACAGGTACAGTCCTCACACACCTCTAGTTGGAGATCTCATGCCAATTTAACCAAAAGCAGAGCTGCTTCAGTTTTAGTCCTACTTTTAATTTGAAAATGTTTTAATAATAATAGTCATGATTTTGGAAGATCACCACTGTAGTCTTTTGAAAAAGACTAAATGGAAGCATCCCATTCACTGAGTTAATTTGAATGGTACATAAGAACAAATCTAAGATCTACTTGGCCACAATGCCCTTCTCCTTCCAGTACAAGTGTTAGACTTTGGTCAATGTGCAAAGCTATAGAAATAAACCCGTTTCAAACAATAATTTACACAGTTAATTAATATAAACAACTGACCTTAATAAATTATGGTATCAAAATTAACATTTTGAAATATGCAAGTTCCTCCTGCCTGCAGTTAATCTAAAAAAGAAACTTCTACTCTACAAGATCCAATCTAAATTGGTCACCGGGACCAGAAGTTTTAGTCTTCTGAGCTTTCAAATTCGTGCTGGAGCCCATCCTCAGGGAACTTCTCTCTACTAGAATGTGTGTTTCAGGCTATTCTATGTGTTATATTTATCTGGTGCCATCCTATAGGTTGATTGATGTGGTGATGCCCGGGGATTGGCTGTTCTTTCCTTGTGCTGCCAAGTCCTTTTCTATTCTGTCTATGGAGATTC